GAGAAGCTGGCCCAGTAGCCGGTCACTAGCCAAGAAAACCATCTCCAAACCCTAGGCCTTGGCCCCACACAGTCCTGTGACAGAACTGTGCAGCCCCGAAAGACCCCACTCAACTTAAAACACCGGGTGGAGAGGCACCCCAGGAAATAGCATAAAGTATCAAAGTTCTCTGCAGAATCTTTCTACACAGATGGGCATTCACCACCAGCCGCACGGGCATTCCGCAGCAGCTTTGCCCCAGTGCAGGGGCCTGGGATCCTCAGGACTGCTGAAGGCATACCACTGCGGCCGGAAAGCCTGCGACAAGCTCAGCCGGGCAGGAGAGGGGTTAACGGGTCACAAACTCTGAGCTGCCGGCTCCCAACTCCCACCATGCCTGAGCCAACGCAGGCCAGGCCTCACCGCCAGCCCACAGCCAACAACGCCGACCGCTGAGTCAGGCCCCGCTCCGGGCCCAATTGTTTGCAAAGACAAAAGGGATGCTGAGGCCCAACTCTCCGGCCAGGCAGGCGGGCACGGGAGGTGACAGCTGACCCAGGTGGCCCAGCCCTGGCCACCTCTCGGGGGCAACCAGGGGACCCTCCCGCCACCCTGGGGGTGTCCAGAGGCAGCATGACTCTGAGAAGCTTCAGTTCACCAGCCCTTGGAAACAGAGAGCTGGACAGTCCTCCTGGCCCCTTGTCCCTGTTTGGGTCCCCACCCCTTGGCAACCAGCAAGTAGACTTTAGGTTCGTCACTGTCACAGGTGTTAAATGGCCAGCCAGGGGATCAAGTTACAAAACAGTGTCGCCTGACATCAGCAGCAAATGGCGGAGGTAAAATCTGTGACCGGCCCTCGACGAGCTTCGCTTGGGGCAGTGCTCACAGGTGCCAGGACCACGAGGGGGAAGAGAACAGCCCCTGAGAACATGCGTTCTGGGTCTGCCCCCCTGGGTTCAAATCCCATCTGGGACACTTATTACCTCGGCCACCCAGAACAGGCTGTTAACCTTTCTTTGCCTCAGTTTCACCATCCATAACCAGATGCCATCAAGTCGATTCCGACTCATGGCGACCCCATGTGTGTCAGAGTAGAAATGTGCTCCACAGGGTTTTCAATGGCTGGTTTTTTGGAAGTAGACTGCCAGGCCTTTCTTCCAAGGCACCTGTGGGTGGACTTGAACCACCAACCTTATGGTTGGCAGCCGAGTGCATTAACTGTTCACACTACCCAGGGATTCCCTTCCCCATCTGTAAAGTGAGAGAAATAACAGCCCCGACCTCAGAGGGCTGTTGGGAGGTGACGAGGGGAAGCACGGGAAGCCAGAGCCCCAGCGCCACGCACCAGGCACAGTCTTAAGTGGTTATTACTCCCGCTTTCCAGATGAGGAAACTAACGACTCAAGCAGGGGACAGCACTCGGCAAGATGGACCCAGCCAGTAAGCGGCAGAGCCAGGATTTGAACCCAGACCTGTGGGCTCTAGAAGACAGTTACTAGAGTCCCAGCTGGGAAGGAACAGAAAGGACCTGAGACTCGGGCAAGGAAGGCACATCAGCAGGAAGAGCTGCATGTGCTGGAAGCTCACCCCTGATCTGGGAGCTGCCGCACCCCAACCCCGAGAAGAGAGCCAGGACTACGGAAACTGAAGACAGCTGGAGGGAGAAACGTCCCCCTCGTGGGGCCTGAGCTCCAAAGAGGAAGACCCGAGTGAAGGCAGGCAGGCCGGGGTGTCCCTAACACCTTCTGGGACGGCTCCAGCGACTATGAGATAGAGCCTGGGGGTGAGAGGAGCCGCACAACCACCTGCTCCCCACCACCCGTGCTCCGTCCCAGGGAGGCCCAGAAGCCAGGACAGGTAATTGAGCTGTGAACCACTCATACAGGCCTGGAGGCCCAGGCCACATCCCATGCCCACCACGGCTGGCCCTTCCCACTGCTGAGCCTGCATGCACCCAGTGCCCGCAGAAGCCACGCTGGAAATGCAGCCGCTGCTCACGAGGACAGCGCACCCAGCAAACTGGGCCACTTCTCGGTTGTCTGCTTGATCCCTCAAACCAAGAACCTGGCCCCACAGGGCCTTTTCTTCTTTCGCCAGCCCTTTCCCCTGCGCTGTCCTTTCATCTGGCCACACTGCCCAGCCTGCTCCTCCAGCTGCCCGTCCCTCCCTGACCAGCACACACAGATACACACCCCACTAGGGGCACAGGACCCGGGGTCCTGGCTTTGGACCCCCAATAGCTGAAAAAGGGCTCAATGCCTAAAGGAGCTGCCTGCTTTATAAGTGCCCTCCCCTCCCCTCAAGAGAAACTGACTTCTAGCCCCATCAATATTTCTTTCCTCCACACTGGTGCGAACAGCTGACACCAATCACAGGGCTGGGAAATAAGCCGCGGGCAGGGTCCTTTGTGCCCCTGAAGGGTGTGTGTCCTGCTCCAAGCAGCTGCTGAAAAAAAAGGCGGAGGCGGGGAGGTTCAGACAGAGGAAGGGTGAAGTGCTTCGCCAAGGCCTGTTGGACAAAAGGCCCACAGGCCAGGCCCACTCGGGCAGGTGCTGTCTGGCCCTAATCACGTCTGATCTAACCCAGCTTCACAAACGTCAGACCCGGCTGACAGTGACCAGCTGCCCCCATCTACCGGGCACCAGAGCAGATCAGAGGCACCCAGAGAGCAACCCAGCTGCCAGTTCCTATGGGTGTCAGCCAACACTTCAAAGGCCCTCTACTCACGTAACTCAAAGGTACTGTTAAAACATCTGTTGCCATAGAGTCAATTCCGCCTCACAGCAACCCCACAGGTGTCAGAGTAGAACTGTGCTCCATAGGGTTTCAATGGCTGTGATCTTACAGAAGTAGATCACCAGGCCTTTCTTCTGCAGCAACACTGGGTGGATTCGAACCACCAACCTTTCAGTTAGTAGCCGAGTGCAAATCATTTGCACCACCCAGCGATCTGTTATCACCCCCATTTTACAGATGAGGAAACTGAGGCACAGAACAATGCTGTTACCTCCCGTTTTACAAATCAGGAAACTGAGGCACAGATTGGTACTACTACCACCCCCATTTTACAGATGAGGAAACTGAGGGACAAAACAGTGCCGTTACCTCCCCATGTTGTAGATGATGAATCTGAGTCACAGCCTGGCTGTGTCAGTCTTCTGAGGTCACATGAGCAGAGGGGGCAGGATCTGAACCCAGGCAGGCTAACTCAGAACTCCTGTTCTCCGCCTCCCACCATGCAGCCCCTCTGCGGGGATGGAAAATGCCACCTGCCTTCTCTCAGTCCCCTCGATGTCCTCCCTCATCCCCAAAACACAATCATGCATCTGAAAGGTTGCGGAAAGGGACAGTTCCCGGACACGGAAGGGTGGCTGCAAACTGCACACCCAAAACTTTGGGGTTGGGGGCACCCACACGAGGAGCATCCACAGCCCGCCCACTCACCCATAGGTCCGCTGGATCAAGGCGGGGTGGAGCTGCTGCACACCCACGGCAAAGCCTGCAACAGAGGGGTCAGCGGTGAGGCTCTTACAGAGAGCAGGCCCGGAGGCCACCCCTCACCCCCTGCCCGAGTCAAAGGGGTAACCAGCTGCTTCTCCCCTTCCAGTCCCTGGCCCGTGTGAACTCGAAAAGGACCCAGCCCAGCTGGCCAACTTCCTCCCTGACGATGTGGGGTGACAGCCCCCATCCCGTCCCAGGCAACGGTCTGGCTCAGGGCAGCTCTGAAGCTGGGGCTGACTGCCCGGTGATGCTCTGGGGGCGCAGGCAGCTGACTGCACCGCAGGCAGAAGGGGCCTGTTCCACCAACAGACCCCGCGCTGTGACACAGCTGCCACAGCGCCCAGGAAGGAAAGGGCCCCGGAAGGAAAGTGCTCTCACCGGGCTGCAGGCTCCGAGGCTTAGCACCCAAGTACGCCAGGTTCACGTTGGCCTTGCGGCCGTCGATGATGGGGTTAGGGTCCTTGCAAGCCCTCTCGGCGGACCCCCGGTCTGCCATGGTTACCTGGGAGGAGCAGAGACAGTCTCGGGACTTCCCTTGGCCCGGTGGAGGCGGGGGGGGGGAGCAGCCAGGAGGCAGAGGCTCTGTCCAACCCTGACACCCCCTTTCCTCCCTCTGAGGGTGCCCATCAGCTCTGACCCCCGCCCAGGGCCACAAAGCTGCCCCCCCAATTCCAGCTCCTCCTCTCCCAGTTCAACTGCTGGGATACCTTGCGGTCAAGGGCAGTAATAATTCCCAGGGGGACACAAACATGAACTCCCAAGGGTGGCAGGGGACCCCAGCCCGGCCTGCCCGGCAGTGTGGCCGGGTACTTCCGCATGGGAGGGGCCTGGGGGCCCTGTGGTCAGAAGGGAAGTAGGAGCGGTATCTTCAAGTCGTTTGCACTTAAAGTGATGTTTATTCGGGGCGGTTGAGGGGCTGTTGTACAATACACGGGAGGGGGCTAAAGGGCCCCAAAGCATCCTTGGGTGGAGCCCCTGCCCCTCACTCACTTGTAGCCCCAGCAAACATCGAGAGAGACCGTCTGCCCCCCCAAACCTCTCCGCAAATTTAGGGGTCCTAATTGACCACGGCGGGGTCTCCTTTTTGGGTGGGGGTGGGGAACTGGGGCCTGGGGGCGTTAGTAGAGGCGGCC